ATAATTATATTTTCATAATGATTTTTTTCTTCTCAAACCTTGTCTGTGGTGTAAAAACACCCCTGGCCAAATTACCATGTTCTGAACATCACATCCTTTCTTTCCCCCAGATGTAATCGATCTCGGTGGTTGAATAAAAATATTTGGACTTTATATTTAAAAATTACCTCAACTTAGCACCAGCAAGCTTGTTAGCTAGACAGTTAGCATCAGCTAACGATATTTACTTATTTTCAGTATGGTTATGATGAATAAACATTCATATCGGTCTACTCGGCTAGTTAATCCAAACAATATAAAAATGTATACTGTTGATAAACAATATAAAAACAGACGTCACAAGGCTAAATGTGTAGCATTTTAATAAAACTGTTAACATTACGGCAGCAGGGAATATGAACGTGCATGAGTTATTTTAATGTTTCAGGGTTTTTTTTGTTTTTTTTTACCTAAAACATAGAGACTCTGATGTTAATGTGTCTGCATTCAGGCATTTCAATGGGCTTAAATAGATAACCCTTTACAGCAGATTTAGTTCACAAACAACGGACAGTTTTGACCTAAATATGATTTTCAGTTACTAATGTTTCAGATTCGACATTAGTAACTTACTTTTAGCAGCATCAGTCGCGCACGCGCTTACAAGATCTCCCGGTTCTTACTTGTGAATTCAGTTCACTGGAGACTCGCACTAAACGGTTCATTTGAATCAGTGAGAATCTCGTTGGAGTCTGGAATTTCCATTTTAATGTTTTTTTTCTGTTTCGTTGTTGATGGGAATCTGGTGGTTGGGGGTCAACATTTTCTGCCAAAATACTGGTTGATGCTACTGAATCCGATTCAGTCTTGGTAATACCTAAAGCATTTTGACTATCCGGCAGGTCAATGTCACTGATAACCATTACCCGGAAATGCTTTTGATGAAGATGCTCTGCAGTTATTGACATTTCATAGATTGTCTCACTATCCATCTCACTGAGGGCACAGTGTTTCTGGAATATATAATCAATAAATCGTCCATCACGCTTAAGAGCAGTTATACAGTCCTCCTCTTTGAAAGCATACACACAAACATCATCAACATTCAGCCTCAGAATCCGGTTTTTCATTAACAGTTTTATTTTCTCCCCTCCGGTTGTATGAATGTAAAACGTGACTAAGGTTTCAGGGTTTGAAGTATAATCTGTAGTTGGTTTTTGCTCAGTAGAAGCATTTCCATCATTATTGATGAACTGTATTTTTAAGATCTCATCTTTTTCAATAAGACAGCAGGGGAAATCGGTCTTCACAGCTGCTCTAAGAACATTTCCTTTGGATCTCAGGATGACGATTTCTTTCTCTTTGTTCTTTTTAATGTTCATGAAAATATTGTTTTTCATAAGAGCCTCGAGTACAGTCTTGGATGTGTCATGCATCACTACGTATGTATTTGTTTTTAAAACGGAATTCCTTTGGTGCATTCTGTTAATTTTAGAAAAACAGTCACATACAATCAATGTATCAATCAATCAAATAAACTGTTTATTATCTTCCAAGTTTTCTGAAGCCATCTTGAAGCTCCAGGGCCCTCATTTATCAACAGTGCATAGAAAAGGTTCTATATTTTGTCCTACGAATGAAATTTAGAACGTGCCCAAGTACAAGAAAATCCTATATCATCAAACGTGCGCATGCAGTTCTTACGCACATGAGTAAGCAATCATTGTTGATAAACCCCACAGGTGCGTAAGAAACATGCACGTTCACTTGCATTCGGAAACGCCTCCAACAAACCATATATATATATATATATATAACACCTCCCTTTATAAATCACGTGACTGTATGTGTCCTCGCCGAAATCATGGCAAAGAAAGCGGTACCGACTGAGAAGCCATTCTGTGCTCTCACTCTCAGCGCGGTCTTTGAAAACGCGTTCTCTGCGGAGCGCATTGTTTGCCAAGTCTTCCAATAACGCAAGATAAGCCATTGATTGCACGGTCTGAGACAAACATTTGTCACAGCTGTCTTTTATAGGGTTTGACACCAATTACGCAAATTGTCTGTTTAAAACCAGACAAATGATAAATTGAGTGATTTATAAAGGAAACACAGGACATATGTGGATTGCTTAATGCATACGGTGACACTCTTAAATGCTTTTTATGTGTAGTGTCGCTATTCTACCACTAGATTCTCTGCATAAGCATGCTCAGAGGTGTGCTTATTAACACACATTTCTACCTATAAGTACAAGTTGGTAGATCCCACACTTTGCGTGAAACTGCTCTTACCACTCATTACACACTGTTGATAAATGAGGCCCCAGGTTTGAGTGTATGCCAACATGAATGAAACTTGAGATCTCTACAGCAGAATGGAAGATGTGGAGTATGTCCCTCATCTAAAGAATCTAGTTCATCTGCATCTTCATCTACAACCCCTCCACCCAGATATCCACCCAGACATAATTTATGTGATATTATTAATTAAATTGTTGATGGGAAGAGCTCGCTGCCTGTTGTGGTTTTCACATTATAAGACTAAAAATAATAATATATAATAATAATAATAAATAAATAAATAAATAAATAATAATAATAAAAATAGAGCATGATGAAAATTTACAACCCATGCAGTTCGATTAAATTTAGACAATCTATAAATGTAAAAACAAGCATTCAAGTGAATACTGCTGAAGAAAAAAAAGGTTGTCATTAAATAATGATTCATTATTAGTATGTGTGATCTACCTGCTTCACATCTTTTGATGGTCCCTCTTCTACTACTTTACTCAAATCAGCCATTGCTTCCTGAAAAATAATGTTAACAAGAATGTTTATACATAGTGTTGACATGTGCTACATGAAACACTTGTAAAAACAATAAGAGCCATATATATATATATATATATATATATATATTAATATTACACCTGTAAAAATAAATATAAATACAGAAATATCCTTCATATTAATACATAATACAGTACATTGTGCCCTATTTTTCCAAATTTCTTGTGCAGTTTATTTAAAATAAGTATGACATGAACAAGTATAAAATAAATAAAGACGGAAGCATGAAACAAACTCACCTACAGCAGTTACAGGGAACAAAGCTAAACAAAGACAATAGGAACGTGAGGTCTATTTATATACAGAGACTAAAGACTAACATGGTACACCTGAGAATAATCAAACAAAGAACCAGTGAGAGAACAGGACACATGAGCAAAACAACCAATCAGAACATGACATGTAACCTAGGGAAGCACATTGCTGGGGCAAGTTTAAGCTCAAACCGGTGCACAACGTTTTGCTACGGTTTCCGGGTTGAACGACAAGTTTCCTGGAAACGGTGTGCAATGGGGTTTGAGATACGTTTTTTCTTGTTTGGTGGGTGTCAAAAATGTCAGCCCAATCAGCAGCAACATGTATGTAAACCACGCGGTATTAAAGAGACAGCTTGCACAATGTAATTAACATCAAAATAAATTCACAAGAGCAAGTATAGGCTATTGTTTGCACATGTTTATTTACATTAAAGGCAAAATAACTGAAATTATAAGAGCACATGTAGATCTGGAACTTCTTTAAGTCTGTCTAAATATCATTTAATAATTGCAATGTCTTCTGGTCCATATCATTTCCTTAGGAAGGTGTGCTAGACAAAATATAACATGAAATATAAATATAACAAATATAACATGAATTTAACAGCCAATGGAAGATCACTACAGCCCCTCTGAGACCAGCTAAGAACTGTTAATATGACTCAATACATTTGCATCTGCTCTGAGCCTGTAAGTGGAAAATAAACTTGCACTTAAATCAATACAACAACAAAATAATTAACTTAAAATATTCCAAAATATCAAGCATTATATTTTGGAATATTTAAGGTAATGAGTCAAACACGTTCTCATCCTGAGGGTTAAAAGGTCCGCGGTCAAAGCAGGGCCCACAGCTCAGGGTATGAAGTGCAGTGCAGGACCCAGTGAGACCTCATGCATCTGGGTTTTTGGTCTTCCCCCATCGTGACGTAGATATGTGGGGGGGCGTGTAAGAACGAGCCGTTTTAGGTAGGCGTGGTTGACTCTTAACTTTTATAAAGAATATCTCTTTGGATTTGAGACTTTAGTCTTTACAAGTTTCAGATCTTCTTTATGCACCAAGAGCTTGTAACACTCCAAAGAGAAAGGAAAAATTGAAATCGCATCATATGATCACTTTAAGAGAAACCGAGAGTAACTTCGGTTTCTAAAAATGCTCTCGAAAAATTATATGGAAAGTGAAAACCCATAATGACATTTTAAAAATCTTTCAGAATTGAAGCCATTGCAGTCGTCACCCAAAAAAATGTCAGCATAGACGTGTGGACTTCTTCAGAATCTTCCATCTCTCAGTCGGTCTGATTCTCTTGCTCTGCAGTCCCAGACTCATTGCTTTTATTGCTGTAGGCTTCTAAGGTATTGACTACCTCATGCAAACCTTTTATATTAGCCTGTCCTCTGATCATATCAAGGATGGGCTGCATGGAATAGGTGTATTCCACAATGCTTCTAGTTCTACCTTTTTCTCCTGGGTACACATATCCACCGGTGTGCACGCCAATCAGATAGCAGTGTTCATCAAAAACTGGAGAGCCAGAAGATCCATGAAAGAAACAAGAGTTCAAGTTCAAGTTCAAGTCTGCTTTATTGTCAATTCTTCCACATGTACAGGACATACACACAGAGAATTGAAATTGCGTTACTCTCAGACCCTTGGGTGCATACAGATAACATAAATACAGATTAAATACAAAATACAACTATACAAATATACAAATAAGGTCAAATGTAAAAAAATATATATATATATAAAGCACAAAGCATATGGCAGATAGAATTATATAATAAGTTATAATTAATCTGGTTTTCATAAACATCCCATTTATCTTCAACACTTTTCTGTGTCATCACATGTATGAAATTGACATTCTCAGAGATGTGTTTATCGGCAGCCTCTTGTAGATTTTCTCTCTCAATGATGAAGCAGGGGTCCGTTTTCTTAATCCCACCATCTGGATGTCCCACAATGCACATCTCACCACTTTTAGGAGGAGGGCCAGGACTGTAGCAACTCTGAATACAAGGAATAAATCGTTATATTAGACAGTGTAATTTAATACGAGACGATTGAATAGCAAACTTAACAGTGCAGGTAGGCTAACGTTAGCTTACCTTTCGTGAAATAAGATTTGCTAACCTAACTAAGAAACACTGTTTACCAACGTAGCTGTATTTAAGCTATAAACAAATGATTTCAGAAAGAAAAAATAGCCACGTACCTTTTTTGATACTTGTCGCTGTCAAGATGCTCGCAGCTCGCGATTTTTCGGGGTTGTGGCTAAAACTAGGGGGCGTGTTTCAGGCGCCCAAACGAGCTCTTCTGATTGGCTGAAATTCTCTGCTCTCTGAACAGTGCTCGCCGTTGCCTCTACAGATGCACAAATCACTTTTGCACCATTTATCACACAGATAGGCGGTGCATAAGGGAGAGAGCGTGAAACTTGTCATTTGCAAGCGAAAAACAGTGTTTGAGACTCGTAGCAGCAGATTCACGCAGTTGTAGTTATGCACTTGTGTTAGTGCTAGAAAAAGCATCCAAGAAAAAAAAATATATGTAAGAAAACATTCTACAAGCGTGCAAATCTCATTGCAAGAATTCACAAACTGATTTGCGGATGCACAAAACTCGTCTGTGATTTCACATTTTTGATGCAGGTGTGTGAATGTGTTTTGCACCATATTCACTGCAGCAATAGTAGCAAAACTTGTGAGCGTACGAGTTTCTTGATTTGTGATTCGTAGAATATGATTTGTGCACCTGCAGTGAAGGATTCAAGAACGTGTAACTGTTGTGTTGTGTTTGTGGGAGAGAAAAAAATATCTACAAGTTTGCAACGTTTGTCTGTGACTTCAGATTTACTGATACACATGTGTGGCTGTTCTCTACAACTACAAATTCCGCTGTCACGGTCACTCAGTTGTTTTGCACCAAAAATACCTTCATAGCTAAATATCACGTTATTGGGGTCGCTTCTACTGAGCTGACCTTGATGTGCTTGATATAAATGTGATTTTATCAAAAAACAGCGTTTTACATTTATTTAATAATGTCATAAGGCTTCGTGGGATTCTGACCGGAGTCTGCCATTTGGCGACCCCTTGTCCAGTAAGTAAGTATGCATGGCTCCATCATGATTCTTTCCCTGTGGCCACGGTGCAGAAATAACGTTACTATTAAAATTACAATTTGGGGAATACTTCACATTAAATATCACATTAAATCTTAACATATTAACTTTATATTAATGCTGTACAGGTAATGACAACAGTCTGTGGTCTCCCAGTGGTTTACATTACACACAGTTTAGCATTGTGGGATTTATTTACTACAGAACAAAACAGAACATAATGCCTTCATTTCCAAAGTCTTTTTTTTTTTTTTTTTTTGCATTACATATTGAAATTGGACATGCTCAGTGCTATTTAATTTTCATCTAATTGTTTTTCCTGAATTGGGCTGTGTGTGAAGAAATGTGAATGATTGAATGAAGTGAAGGATGTGGCAAGTTCTCCTCCTTAGGGTGAAAGGTCAGAGTTCAAAACAGGGCACTCAGGTCAGAGTATGAAGCGCAGTGCAGGACCCAATGAAACCTCATAAATCTGGGTGACCAAAAAATCAGTAAATAAAAGTATTCAGTAAATACAGTCTTTAAACTTCAAATTAGGCTTCTAAAGGGAACTAATGTGACTCTTTTTCTTTCCCTTTTCAGCCACATGCTTATGATCCTCTACATGAAAACCAACCATTGCTGCTCTAAAGATGCAGCACCTTCAGTGAACTACAGCTGCTTATATGGTGCTTGCTGTTTGGCTTCATCTGGAAGTAAAGAAGCAACTGGAGGTGAGGTCAAAACACAAAACACTTTACAGAAAGACAGAAGCGTTAAAGCTGCAGTCCCTCACTGGACAATGGAAGAGCTGAAAAAGCCACATGCAAACTACCTTTGTAAAAGATATTCTGAACACCTTTGTAAAATATACACATTTCTGTCTTACATCTTTGCATATACAAATACAAGATATCATCTTATGTTGGGCTTCCATCTTTTCCCAAGATGTCAAGAACAACTTGGGAAATAAGTGGCGGTTTATAGGACATTATAAGTAAAGGAACAGCTTAAAACGGAATTTCTTTTATTTATTGTGTCAATATATTATAGACGAACACTTATCCATGAGCAGCAGGATGTTTACTTTTTATTGCATAAATCTTAAGGAAAATAAGATTCAATAATATGTTCATAATATGAAATATGTTGTGTTTATAATCAGAAAGTTATTTGTTCTATTAGAGTCAAGAATGAGGCCAAACTACTTTAAGCATGATTATTTAATATAGTGAAAATGAGGCACAAAATAGAAAGTTACTATATATATATATATATATATATATAATATATATATATAAAGCATTTGATTTTAGTGTATACATGCAGCTGTAGGCGTATTTCAGAAGCAGCAGAAAGTACAAATATCTGCAGCATTGAACAGTGCTGGAGCAATCAAAAATATTTAAGAACAATGTTTATTGTTAACCCCTTAATGGATAGTTCACCCAAAAATCCTGTCATGATTTAATCGTGCTTTTCCAAACAATTTATTTCTTAATATATTTTGTGTTCTGCAGAAGAAAGTCAGTCGTGCAGGTATGAAATTATATGAGACTGAATAATTTATAACAGAATTTTCATTTTGGTCGATCTACCAGATTTCTAGAATTTAAGCTAAATATAATTTATCCTTTGGAATTATACAAACACAATAATGCTGTCTGATCTAACAAAGATGTAGTTTGTTTTCTGGTTGCTACATAATGAAACAGAATGTACGTTACACAAAGAACAGATTAACAATGAAAATAAGAACTCATAACCAATGATAAGGATGAATAGTTGGACATTTGCCTAAAGGCATCCAATGATCATACAGAATTTATACATTATTGAATTAAATTGTATGTTGTATAAAGCATTTGATTTTAGTGTATACATGCAGCTGCAGGCGCATTTCTGAAGCAGCAGAGAGTACAAATATCTGCAGCATTGAACAGTGCTGGAGCAATCAAAAATATTTAAGAACAATGTTTATTGTTAACCCCTTAATGGATAGTTCACCCAAAAATCCTGTCATGATTTAATCGTGCTTTTCCAAACAATTTATTTCTTAATATATTTTGTGTTCTGCAGAAGAAAGTCAGTCGTGCAGGTATGAAATTATATGAGACTGAATAATTTATAACAGAATTTTCATTTTGGTCGATCTACCAGATTTCTAGAATTTAAGCTAAATATAATTTATCCTTTGGAATTATACAAACACAATAATGCTGTCTGATCTAACAAAGATGTAGTTTGTTTTCTGGTTGCTACATAATGAAACAGAATGTACGTTACACAAAGAACAGATTAACAATGAAAATAAGAACTCATAACCAATGATAAGGATGAATAGTTGGACACATTTGCCTAAAGGCATCCAATGATCATATAGAATTGATACATCATTGAATTAAATTGTATGTTGAACATGCCTGAATACCTCAAGATAAATGAAAAGTTTTATATTTAAAAAAAATAGATGGATTCGGCATCAATCAGGACTCAAGACTGTACTGTCCCATTACTCATATAAAATCTTCCTGATTTTGTGGATCTTCTTTCATGTCCACATCATTGTCTTCCAAGTTAAGATTTGAAGATTTATATTCAGAGAGTAATTTCAAGATGTCGGATCTCTCACTTTTCTAGGCCTGTGTGATGCTGCTTTCCAGGATGGGCTGCATGGAATAGGCGTATTCCATAAGGCTCCTAGTTTTACAGTTTTCTCCTTTGTACGCATAGCCACCGGTGTGCACGCCAATCAGATAGC